CATCGTGTCTCCGAAATGGAGGAACCCAATATAATGTAATTTGACGGGCCTGCTGGTCTAGTGGTTAGAGATGCGAAAAGTGTGTCTGTCTGCCTGTCTTTCTGTCTGTCTCTCTGTCTGTTCACTCTTAAACCACTGAACTAATTTAGATGAAATTTGGTATAGAGATAGTCCGAGTCCCGGGAAATGACATAGGGTGGTTATAAGAAATCATCCTTTAAGGGGGTGAAAAGGGGGTGGAAGTTTGTATGAGGCATTAATAACCGGTGGATCGATTTATATGAAATTTGGTATGGAGATACTTTGATTCTTGAGGAGAGATATATAGGCTACCTTTTAACTGACATCTACGTCGGCGGAGCCGAGGGCAATAGCTAGTTTATCTATAAGTTTCTATAATTTTTATATGAGTCATGTTTATCTGCAGGCTGGTTAACATAGTACAGGCTACGCCTAGTTTGGGATGAAACTGCCGTGTGTGGGAGGTGTCAAGTTAATATTATTATTATAATGCGGTGACGGTTCTCAGATTGATTGAAATCTGCTCAGCCGATCTATAGATATTTTTATTCATATATCTAGAGTTTCTCAGTCTTCATTTGATGTACTATTGTATTCGTGGCTAGTTAGATATAATTATTATTTCAGTGGGTCAAGGTTTACATAAGCCATGCGTTACATAATTTTGTAATACATTTATCGTCTCGCTTATTAGTTCGGCAATGTTTGGTCTGATTTGTTGCTTTGCGTGCTCTCCGACACACGAAGGTTGATGTATCCGGTCTGTAACCTCCACTAAATAACAATTGTCAACATTTTTCTTAATAATACCTAATTACACTAGAAGGTCTGGTGAAAGAAGCGTAAGAAGTATCTTCGGATAGTGGAAAATGGCACTCTATGGTGTCCTAACATGTTATGTATTACTTAATAAGGCTATTAATAGGTACTTGGGGATTTAAAAAAAACAGGATTTTCAGATTCAAATTTGAAATTCAAATATATAATATGAAATTCATATAATTTTTTTACAAAATTCATGTTTTTTAATTTAAAATTTAGTCATTTGTTTTAGATAGTGTTACAATCATTTGTTTTGATAGTGTTTCAGTGAAATTGTGGTAGTTTTTGGCGCTATTGATAAACTAAAAATTCGTACAATTTTCTAGTAGTTCCCACGTAGAAATACCGCTGCACAAACAACAAAAAACATTAACGTCGTGTAAGGGCCTCCGTGTGGTGACGGATTAAGAATACGGAATGCCACCACCTCTATTCATCCCGTGGGTGTCGTAAGAGCCGACTAAGGGAGCAAACTGCACAGGACAACAACACTGCAAAAAGAAGGAAAACTTGAAACAAACCCTGTACCAACCCGTCTGGCCAGCAACCCGTATAGTAGGCCAAAACCTCCTTTCTAAGGAGAGGCCTATGTCCAGCAGTGGACTATTATAGGCTGTTGCTGAAGGGCCTAACACTGCTGGCATAAACATGGTCCATTATTAGTTCAATCGTTTTTATCTGGCCATTTTTGCGTCGTCTGTTAACTATAGTCAACAAAGGCGATTATGAGGCGATAATGTAAACGCATCCAACTCCATCTGTGGCTGAGCTTGCTGCGGGCTTTGGAGTTAGTGTCTAAACAACAGGCAGGTTAAACAATCAGTAATATGTAATATGCTCTAGATAGATAGATATATCGACTTTTTATTTTATCACAGAAAACTGGTGTTAAGCAGTTCTTTCGTTACTTTTCACCGAGTGAGTCACTTTACCGCAGCTCAACCCCCTTCCCTCCCCCAGAGGGACTCAAAAAGCGGCAACTCATTTGTACCTCTTAAGTTGCAGGTGTCTATGCCTGGCGATAGTTAATTTTAAAAAAACAAGAAGCAAATGGTAAGAAGATGTTGTTTCGTTTTTTTTTTTATGGCTCGCCTGATGGAAAGTGACTACCACTGACTTCTACAACACTAGTGACTAGTCACAAGGATGTTGCCAGCCTTTTAGGAAGGTGTACGCTCTTTTATTGAAAGTTTGAAGGTGATGCTGGTTATGATAGATTAGATTTAGTAATCTTTATCAAGTTATGCAGCGAACTGTCAAGATGCTTAGAGACGCAGTAAGCGAGTCACGAATTATACATCATTTTATGTATTTAATTACTCAATCGCTGTATCTTAAATATCATCAAATCGACTTTGTGTTTTAATTTGAAATTAAATGCAAACGGTGTGACCATGACATGGTTATATTGCTTATGCTCATCTTACACATCTTCAGCTATCGTTCAATATTTAATCATGGCTATACTGCTTTGTAACTGGACAGCCTGAGATCGCGGCTTCGATTCCCTCAATTCATATAATTGTATGAAAGTGTATATTTGCAGTAATCTAGATGTTTGTAAATAATAAAAACAACTTGAGTCATCTCACACAAGGTCGTCTGATCCGAAACTATGTCTAGTTTGGAGTTAGTAGTTGGTCATGCTCTGTCGTGCCTGTACTTTTGTAATTAAACAGCTGATAAACATAATTACATGTTTCTAAATATATAGAGGACCGGTTGTTGTTGCGAACCTTGGGGGACCCAGCAGTGGACATCTTTCGGATGATATAATGATGATGAAATATATAAATATTATACATATAACGAAGTAGGTGGGAAGCGTAGGTAGCCTAGTGGTTAAGGCATTGGACTTGCGATCAAGAGGTCGTGGGTTCGAATCGTGACCAGTACACTACCGACGGGAACCCACTCCTAACACAAGCAATTTAGCTTAACGGAGGAATTAACGGGCATACTAGTAATTTCGGTTGCTAGTAGACCTTTTAAAATAAAATGGTATAATAACATCGAATTAATGAGGAATCACACTTAAATATACACACGTTGCTTAGATGTAGGCGTATTAATTGCAGAAAGCGGCGAAGTCAGACTGAGATTAGCCAAACAAATGTTTCCTCCGCTCTTGCTCGCCCAAAAGCGGCCGTTGACAGCCTCCTGTTCCGAAGACAGCGATCTGTCTACCGTAGTGTTGTCAATCACCCATCTGAATACGCTTAAATCGATTAGATTTGACATTCCGCTTCACGTTCCCCGATACATACTCGTATGTATATACATTACACTCAGGTACAGAAAAAATGATCGTACTCATCACACAATCAAACCCATGATCTCTTGTTCTTTAGTTAGATCCATCACTAGACTGACGCTAAGCATCTTATGGATAGAAGTGTGGGCGGAGACGTAATAAACATCCACATTATGCCACTTTAGTTCCAATTACTTAAATGGTAAAATTGACTCTATATTTAAAGAAAAAGTTAGATTTAAATGGGTTATGAAATGTCAGCCCTGTAACCCAATAGTCAATATTGCATCAATGATGATGACATCAACAGCCTTTAATATTCCAATGCTGGACAGAGGACTTAGAAAGGACGTTTTGGCCTACTGTAACACGCTGGCCAGACGGGTTGGTATAGGGTTTGTTTCAAATGTTCCTTCTCTTCGCAGTGCTGTTGTCCTGCGTGGTTTGCTCCCCTAGTCAGCTCTTACGACACCTACGGGATGAATAGGAGTGGTCACATTCCATATTCTTAATGCGCCACACATATAATATGAAAAAGACAAATAAAGTACACAAAATTTACTTAAAAATGCATTTAATAAGTACACTTTTTATAGCAATTCAATGAAGTACCAATTATGTTTATAAAAACCTACAAGTCAAATTAACATTTTACGATATCCGTTATTGCATTTTCTTGCCCAATAAGGTTTAATTATTTCATCTAAATCATTTGATGTAACATATTATACTCGTATATATATAATAAGTACATCCTGGAACGTCCTCCATTATCAATTTAATGTTATTATTGCTTTTGGATCTTTAAATACACATGAAATATAAATGATTTAACAATAGCTGGGTATGACGTCACTCTACATCATTTCTTACAAAATTTTACCGCGTCTATCGTTTCTAAGCTTGACTGAGTCATCTTTTCCATTAAAGATACTCATTAATAGTACGATACTCATTACCCTCCGATCCCATTTTCCCAAACTTGTTTTTGATTCGCTTTTAATCTACTACGATACGACTGATCTTCAACTTTTTACGTGGAGCGACTGTCATTTAATCTCCACATCATAAGTACTAGGTGATTTCAAAGTTCTGTGGAAAGACTGTTGTCGGACATTTTAGGTCTCCAACTCCCCGTAACTATTGCCTCAGATATTCGTATGGCAATCATTGTTTGATAATCATAAGCAAAAATCGCAGCTAAGGCTATAAACTTAATTGTCTGACATCAATCGGATCCACTTCGGAGGTGGAGAATAAACTTCATTCTATCCACACTGTCAGAGTTTATACGCATTTCATCTAAAAATATTAGCCATCAAATGATCATTTATATCTCCTGATAATGGATACTATGTATTGACAATGCAAACTAATGGTTCTGAGTTTATATTTTTTGGTGATCCTAAAAATAACTTCTCTCCAGAATTGATGGTATGTTTTTTATTTGCGTGGTGACACCAAAGACAATTTCGTTCATAAACGAAGCTGCTCTTCAGCATATAAGTTTTAAGAGATAATAGCACGCGTTCTGTAATAGAAAGTCAGCTAATCCTTTTCATAGAATACCTTTTCAGACTCTTCAACGTAAAACTCCTAACAGAAATTTGCAATAACAGAAATGGTTATAAATGAAACTTATAAGTTTATAGATAATAATAATAAATTAACTTTACAATTCAAACTTATAACTAATATGAAAATATTTTAACGAAGAATATAGAATATTGCCCATTGCCTACTATTCCAATACTCGCCAAACATGGTAAACAATGTTCAACATGGTTCTATTACTTTAATCTTAATATAATATTTATTAAACTTATATTCACTTAATTACATTTATTAAATTATTTATTGAAAGATAATTTATTAAATGTTTCTTTACAATTTAAATACATACTTAAAAAGTATTTATTAATTTCTTTATCATTTCTACTGATTCATTTTGTCCTATACTTTCAATATATTCAGTAGCCCTTTTAGCATGTTCCTCGTATAACGTCTTAGTTTTATCAACAGCGTCAGTCTTTAAAATGTTAAATTTCAGATCTTCGTAATCAACGTCTTTGACGTCATTTTTAGCCTGATCTATGACTTTATATAATTCAGGATTACTATCAAGAGCAAACAGCACTGGTGCACTTGCCAGGCAAAATTGTTCTTTACTGTCCGAAGTTAATTGTTGAATTTCTGTTGCAGCCTGCCACGCCAAGCCTACATGACAACCGAACTGATAAGCTTGATTCTGTGTCTCCCTATTTTGTCTGTCAAGTACCATGGCAGATTGACAGCTTCGTCCTAAAAGACTTACGCCGTTATAGACTGTTCTTGCTGTCCATTCTTTTCTTGGTTTGCCCAAGAGATCAGCAACATCCATTGCATTTGTATCGAAAGTGATTTCGTAATCTTTTCCTGTAATTTTAGGTTTACCTGGCAAAGGCATATTTTGCTCGTCTCGTTCCCCAAAGAATTCACCTTCAGATAAATCTTTTAATGCTGTTGAAATTATGTAGGAGACGTCTGAATTCCTTAGATTTGCAAGCATACCATTAGCTGTTACTAAAAGATAATCTCCTAATAATATAGCTATTTTATTACCAAATATAGCAGAGTCTGTGGCTTTCGATCTTGTTGCAAAGGGTACGTTGACGATACCTCTGTGAATTAAGTGGCCAGTTCTCATCATTTCTGTAAGCTCTGCAAGCACTCTGGTATCTTCGTCATTTTTCTTAATTTGGGGAGTACTGCTGGTTGTCTTAACTGACTTTGAGAGCAGAAGAATGATAAGACCCCAAGGTTGCAGGCTTTTTGAATCACCGTATAAGACGTTCTTGGCTGTTTGCATCACCAAATGATTGCTGCCAACCTGTAAAGAAAAAAAAATTAATCTAAGTACATAAAAACTTTAAGTCGCTTTGTAGGTATACGCTTTAAAAACTCAAAAAAATTAAACGCTATATTTTTTTCTCTTCTTTTTTAAAAGATCAATTCCCGCACTAGGAATATATCCTGTGTAGCGGGGGACTTTACAAACATACATGAAATGCACACAAAGAACACCCAGACTCAGAACTCCGAAATATAGAACCCGCTTTAAAGATTGTTTTTTCGCGTCAGTTTTGATAATCCAACCACAATGACTTGACTGCACGGATGGCGTAGTGGCTTAAGGGGTTGCTACGCCGCTCACTACTACGCTGAGTGTTGTGGGTCCGATCCACACATGGGACGACACTTTGTGTGATCCACAAATTGTAGTCCCTAATGTGGGATGGATATATTCCTAATTTAGTTCATAATGAACGATGAATAGAGGATGTATTCCTAATGTGGAAGTTGTATTATAAAAAAAAAATTGTGCTACATTGAAGCTTGGCCAGTATATTACATTTTATTATATTTATTTATATTTTTAAACGTAACACGTAACGTAACGTAACACTACTATAATTTATTTTTAAACGTAAGTGAATCTATAAAGTAGTAAAATGTGATTGTTTTATTAAATTAATTTTAGATTTTTTATGCAAATACCAATTTTACAGAAAAACTTTGAAATATACAAATATAATACATGCGGTGGAAGTCACTTTTCGTCTGATGTACAGACGAAAAGTGACTTCCACCGCATATTATAGTGCATTACTGGCTTTTGAGGTGGGAGTTCTGTGTGGTGACGGATCAAGAATAAGAACAATATAATGAGTAGTGGTGGTGACGCTCCGTCAGAAGCGTACCGACGTCCGTAAGAATGCAGAGTGTCACCACCGCTATTCATCACAACAACAGCACTGCAAAGAGAAGGAAAAATTGAAACGAACCCTATACCAACCCGTCGGGCCAGCGTGGTATAGTGAGCCAAAACCTCCTTTCTAAGGAGAGGCCTATGTCCAGGCAGTGCACCACTAAAGGCTGTTGATTATGATGAGGTGGGAGTGTATACGCTCTTTTCCTGAGGGTTTAAATTGGTATCGGTCCAGAAGTATCAGGAGTTATAGGAAACATGAATTCTATGTTACCAAAATATTATATTTAAAAAAAGAAACTGGTTTCGTGGTTGAGCAACTGACATACATTTTGAAAGTTGTTGAATAATATATACAAGGGCAAGCAAAAGTGTGGTAACTTATATACTATATGTGGCACGCATTATAAATGCTAAAAATCAGTATATATTAAAAAAGAATGAAGTTATGTCAAAGTAAGACACATAACATACATACGTATGTATTAAAAATATATATAAGTATGTTTATCAGCATTCTGGTAGTCATAGCACAGGTTCTGCCTAGTTTGGATCAGACGGCCGTGTGTTAGATGTGTGAGGTATATTATATTATATTATTATTCTCTTTATCTTCTTATTCTCTTGTCCGTGTATCCTATTCATCCCGTGGGTGTCGTAAGAGCCGAAAAAGCCGGGAGAAAACTACGCAGGACAATAACACTGGAGAGACGGAAAACTTGACACAAACCCTTTACCAACCCGTCTGACCAGCGTGGTATAGTAGGTCAAAACCTCCTTTCTAAGAAGAGGCACATGTCCAGAAGTTGACTGTTAAAGGCTGTTGATGTGATGATGTGATGTGATGATACCCTTTATTACATTATAAATACATCTTAATTACATTTTTTAATATATTACAAAAGAAAAAAATAAATAAAAATAATAGACCACCGACATCGGGTACAGGGACCAAGACACCGGTGTTTAGGATTCCAAAGACATGAACCTCACTATACGAGGCGTGTCAGGGAGAACTGCCTTCTGTATCAGACCCATGAACCCGTGTCCATCATCATCCATCCGTTTTACGTGAGCCTCTTAAGGTGTTGCTCGAGGCTCTTGGCTATTAATCCGTGTTTCACATCACACCCACATTACACAACAGCCTTTAATAGTCCACTGCTGGACATAGGCCTCTCCTATCCGTGTTTACATACGACTATCCGAACAATGATCACTGAATTGAAATTCCATATATCGACAATCTCGTGAGATAAATCCAAGTATTTTATTTCTTTTTCAACTTTCACGTGATTCTCGTCATGGGAAACGGTGATATCAACAATCATTGCGCGGCGCTCTAAGCGAGCTATCACTACAATATCAGGCTTATTGACAACAATTGTTCTGTCTGAGATAATAAATCGATCAAAATACAACGTGGCCCGACCATTCTTGAGATCTGGATCCGGCACATACCTGTAGTATGGCACCTCTAGATTCACGGTGGTGGCATGCCCGACAAATGTCAACCGTACCATCTTTCAGGATATATTTCTGATAATTATTCGTCATGATAACTTCCTCTATAATCGCACAAACAAAACCTTTAGTTTCTCAGAGGTCACCATACCGTAGCCAAGGTGTAGTGCTGCAAGTCGTAGGTGCTTTTAAGACAATATCGAACCTATTGAGGGCCTGATAATACCGACGATGGAGCTTTTTGCCCTTTCATATTTCGCTGCGATCCCTGTGGTCCGTGTGGTGACGGATTAAGAATACAGAGTGTCACCACCCCTATTCATCCCGTGGGTGTCGTAAGAGCCGACTAAGGGAGAAAACTACGCAGAACAACAGCACTGCAGAGAGAAGGAAAACTTGACACAAACCCTATACTAACCCGTCTGGCCAGCGTGGTATAGTAGGCCAAAACCTCCTTTCTAAGGAGAGGCTTATGTCCAGCAGTGGACTATTAAAAACTGTTGATGATATGTCCCTGCGATCATTAGTACTAAGTACTACATTCTGAGAGTGAGACATAACAGAGTTGTTCGTAATATGAAATGTTATCTTCACTCTCAGAATGGATGTTAGTAATTTATATAATGTCGGAAAACACATATAATTTCCACCGCCGAATTTCTGTCGTGGCGTCCGTGGATATTAAAAGTGCTCTTGATCTAGCTTTTGTTATCATCTTACAATGGAATTTCTTATATGAAAAACATGTTGTTGTGTCTTGACATAACGTTAGGCGTCATGCCTTACTATAGATATTCTTGGTTAATTTATTTTAAACGTGTTTTTTTTCTATTTTCATAAGAAGGGTTCATTTTATTATTGTTTAATTTATTTAAATAGTTTTGCTGTGTTGTAAATATTGAGTTTTTTATTTTATTTCGAAAATGTGTAAGCAAATTTCAACTGCTTTAAGTGGTACTAGTTTATTATTAATATTATTCTCTTTATTTACTTTATATACATATCATTTACATTTTTAAAGATACACTTTATTAAAAAATAGTAGTATAAAAAAATAACTTGACACTCCTCAAATACGACCGTCTAATCCCTAACTACGTAGAGCCTGTACCATGGTAACCAGACTGCTGATAAACTTACCTATATTTATTTATTTATTTAGGAAAACTTACAAAACATACATATTTACAAACATCTTTTACAAATATTTGCTGAGTTGCAAATAGTCTTACTTACAAGTTGCCACAGCATGGTAAGGGACAGTTACATCCACGATTCTACTATGTTCATTATCATATATTAAAGTACATAGATAAGTATTACGACGATCGCATAAAATAATATTAACAAACGGTTTGATCTTGAAAACAACGCTAATTTCTCAATACATAAATGCCTGATAATTTGGCTAAGGTTATTAATTAATTCAGAAATAAATAATATTTCAAATAGCCAATAAACTACAAAAATATTTTAAAATTGTTACTTTTCATTTTTTTTATCAAGTGAATATACGAACTCTTAATTAGGCATTTAGAAAACTGTTATAGGATGATAATATAGATGATATAGACAGATACGATGATAGAAAACTGATGGTATAAGAACCAGACTGCAGATTAGAGAGAGAGAGAGAGAGAGAGAGAGAGCCGTCGGTCCCGGTTGCCACACGACCATCTGTGGCAATCGTTACATGCAATTGGAGCCCTAAAAAGTTCTACAGAACTTCGATATCGCCTAATATTTGGGGTGGGGAGGTCTGATGGAAGTTGCTCCGCGTGAAAAATCAAATTTCAGCCGTATGGTAGTAGTAGTAGTAGAAAAAGGCTCGGAGGAGGTATAGGAACGATTGAGTAGACGGGTCATCCGATGGTGACTACTGTTACCCGTGGACACATACAGCTCAAGAACCAGAAGCACATTACCGGCTTATGATTACCTCGCCTGAATAGTTGGAGAGGCCTTGAGCCGTTGGGCCTTCAGAATTTCACCAAAACAAAGCAGGTAAAACAACGAAGAATTGTTTAACACCGGATTTTTGTAAGGCAATAACATCACATCAGTTGAGACAACCGATATTGGTAATGTCGAACCATGGTCCTCAAACAATATAGTCATGAGTTTTCCCTACATGGAAAGTTAAATCTCTTATATATATGCTAATAGAATCTACAAAGAGTGCTATTTGAAGGTGAGATGATGATTTTAAAGTTCCCATGATAATATATTGATCTTCAAATTGTATTGTTTTATCAATTAGAATGAGTTACATAATAAAACGGTTTACAATTTTCAATGCTAGGAAGATTGGATTCGACGATTGCTTGCAAACAAGCGCTGGAAATAACATCTAATGAAAAGAATTTAATGTTTTTACGTTTAAAATAAAAATGCTATTTATAAATAAACAAGGTTGTAAAGCTTGACGTGCGACGTCTTTTGTAAGAATTTGTATAATAGTGACATAATTAGATAGAGCGTTAAAGAAGTCACATCAACAGCCTGTAATAGTGCACTGCTGGACATAAGCCTCTTCTTAGAAAGGAGGTTTTGGCCTACTATTCCACGCTGGCCAGACGGGTTTGTGTCAAATTTTCCTTTTCTCATCAGTGCTGTTGTTTTGCGTAGTTTTCTACCTTAGTCGGCTATTACGACACCCACGGGATGAATAGGGGTGGTGACACTCTGTATTCTTAATCCGTCACCACACTGACCGTGTAGTAGCTAAATACCCTCGGAGTGTGTATTTAGTAATAATAATAAAAACTTGACAGATCTTAATCCATTCCGTCTGATCCCAAACTAAGTAGAGCCTGCACTATAATAACCAGACTGCTGATAAGCATACTTTTATATTAGTTAAATTATATCATATCATTCAAATAATAAATAATTAGATAATTCACACCCAGACGCAGAACAAATAATCATGCTCATCACACAAATATTCGTCCTGGATGAGAATCGAACCCACGGCCTCCGGCTTAGCAGTCACGGTCACTAACCACTAGATCAACAGGCCGCTTAATAATTTACTCTGGTTTCTTAATATTGTTACTAAATCTAAGAAACTATACTTAGTAGAATTTAGAACTTAATACTTTACGTAAATAACACAAAAAATCACCGCATATTATCCATTGAACCACTGGATAACATGCGATGATGTTGTTGCCAATTTTATTAATTAATATTCCTTCCTTTAATGCCAACCATTTCACAATGAAATGAAGGAGGGGATGTGCGACTGCACGGATGGCGTAGTGGTTTTAGCGGTCACCTTGCCGCTCCCTGCTGCGCTGAGTGTTGTGGGTCCGATTCCCATGAGACAACACTTTCTGTGAGTCAATGAATTGTTGTTCTGAGTCGGGGTGTTCTTTGTGTTTAATGTATGTTTGTAAAGTCCTCCACGACACAGGATATTTTTCGAGTGCGGCGAGTTGTCTATTGAAAAAAAGAAAAAAGATGTGGACTGATCAAGGAAGAATGGAAGAAAAGTCATTGCACCGACTCTAAACAAGTTTGAGAACAGGGTAGGAAGGTGATGATGATATCCAGCGAACTACTGTGCTCTACTTACAAGCAACATGACCAACTGTAAAATTCGATCTTAAAGGAGAGGCAAAAGGAGTGATTGTTGAAAGTAGATAATTAGATATTACGGTTAACGTCAGTAGCGGTTACAGAGGGTTTTTAATTATGTAGACTTGTTGATTTGACTAATTAGAGCGCGCAGTGCTGTCATCGTGTAGTACGACTGGATGGCGTAGTGGTTTGTGTAACGGACTGCTATTTTTGATTCCCGCTCAAGTCAAACATTTGTGTGCATAAACATTTAATGTATTTGATCTGGGTGTTTCTAAATATAATTTGTATGTATTTACAAAAAAAAAGTAAATATGTATTTATATCAGTTGTCTAGTAGCCATAGTACGAGCTCTGCTTAGTTTGGGACTTTTTAAAGAGACTAATCCCACCCACACGCCCACCACTGTAACTCCTGTACACCAGGATCGACAGCAGTGACCCACGAACACACCGAGTTTGGGACTAGATGGCGTTGTGTGAATGTGGTAGAATTTTATTATTATATTATAGTAAGATGATAATGCAATAGTAGGAAACAAATATTACTTCCCACTCACTGACACACACAGGACACTCCTGGAACTTTTTTTGGGTTGGGTTGTGCACGAAAGCTCGAAATCGAAAAAAATATTAAAAAATATAATAGTTTAAAAAAACTAAAAAACACGCTTTTTATAGAAAACCAAACTACGCTTACGCTTACTAACGTTTTTTTTTTCAAATTTATTAAAATTTATTTTCTATTTTTTTAGTTTGGTTATAAATTTTATTTTTTTATTTGTGTATTGTCATCGGTCCTCGATATATCTACAAAGTTTGAACGAATTCTGACCGTTTAAAGTCAATCAAAATCACGCCTAAAGGAATCGGTTACAAACAAACACAAGTAAAGCTAATATAAAGCGTGTAATAAAGCGTGTAAAAGTAAAGCGTGTAAAATAGACTAAACTATACAATGATTCCCACTTTAAGAATTCTCAGATCAGTCATTGGCACTAACTTTTAATTACCATTTTTTTTTTCATAAATAAATAATCAAGAGTTAACAAGTTGTATAAAAATGAGTTACTATAAACATTAACGTTATAAAAAGTTTAGTTTTACTTAACTTACTAAGTATCTGTATATTTAAAAATGTAAAGTGGATTTGTGTACGCTTCAAAAACTTGAGAAAACTTTGCATCGATTCAATTATTTTTAACACATTAATCATTAATATTTTTGTTTAAAATTAGGAGTGTCAATCATTAATGGGATACCGACAATAGTACAATAGTACTCGTCGTCCACATTTTTGGCAATGATATATTTTTAAGTATTAAGAGCGAAAATACAACGGTCACTTCCAGACTCCGTGTTAAGAATATACTACTAAAATAAATTAATTTAACTAGATGCAAACATAGACCCAAATGCATGGCTCTTTGCTAACTAGGTAATTAACTAGATGAATAAAATCTTCGATTAAGCATAGCTGTGTGGAGATGGAGGTAATTGGCGGCAATTCACCGTGACGCTGTTTTTTTTTTATTGCAACTGCGTGTGAAAATGGTCAGTGTTGCATTATGTAAAAATATAAGCACCGAAATTTGTACAGACCAAAAAGGAGATACATCAAGTGTGTCAATCATAAGTGTATTAAATAACTATATAAGCCAATATCGCCAATATTAACGCCAAATTTGACAATTATCAATTGAACTGTTATATTTTAAAAGAAAATAAAAACATTGTATTTCTGTTTTTTTCTCAGTTTTTATTCTTAACTGCTGAAACAAGTTGTTGTGGGTTCGATTCCCATCTAGGACAAAATAATTGTGCGATGATCACCCGATACAGAACAAGTGCTTCTGTGTTTGAGTGTCATTTATATAAATTTTATATGTATTTAAAGATACAAAAGCATGTTTAGACTGGTTGCCGTAGAACCAGACCGAAGACCATGGTTCTGCCTAGTTTGTGATCAGACGCCGTTTGAGATGGGTCAAATTATTATTATTATTATTTTCTTTATTCAACTTAAAAAGACATGAGTTTAAATACATTTCAATAACAAGAGGACAGGAACCTCCTCACTATACGGACCGTGTTGAGGAGAACTAACTGCCTTGTGCATCAGACTCTTGATCCTCCTAACGAGGGCCTTTTAAGGAGTGTGTCGGGCTTTTAGCTATCAATGATTATTATTCTTGCTCACGTAACTCAAGTCAGTAATATTCATAGAACAGCAAACGCTAAAATACGTCATCCTCATAAACCTTTTCTTAAAATTTCTTACAACCTATTTAACATAACTTTCACCTTCATATAAGTTATTCATTTCTCTAGAAATTGTTGACTGTTTTTTAAAAAAAGAATTTTTAAGATTTAGCTTTTAAAAAAGAATATAATCTTTTTTCATCAATTAAATTTGTTAAGTGCGTCCTTATGACGACACGTTTTTACCGAAATAAAAGAAAATCAAACAATATCTGAACAAATAAATAATATTATTTCATAGCAATGACGTAATTTACATACTGCCCACTACTAGTATTATGATTGTCAACAGAATATATTTATGCAAATATAATTAAATGTATTTTCTAGTATTTTTGACATTAACGATAATTTACAAAGTCACAACACTAGTACAATTTAAAAAAAGTTGTAATTTACACCACACAATTTATATTATATACTACAATTTATACTAACTTTCTTGGCATAAGTTTAAAAAATAAATTTAGCAAAAATAATAAATATTAGGCTTACCAATTTTCTTAAATAAAGCGCCAAGTTTGCAAATTCGTCGCTCAATAAACATCTGAGATTCATGAAGGAAGTTGGATATCCGACCACTTTCTCCGCGTCTCTAATAACATTGCTCCAATTCGTAAAAGGAGGCCGCAACAGTATTAAAATCTCATCTTTTGTCAAACTCGCCACAGTCGACTCCAATCTTTTTTGGTAAAAGAATGGGGACACCCGCCTTAACGCGCGGGAAACCGCGTAGGACGCCATCACCGTTTTTGTGCTTATTTTCAGGCACAGATACGCGAGTACACAGGTGCACGGTTGTTGATGCAATGGCAATGTAGTTGTGGACTGATAGTAGGATGTAGTATACAATCTGTCAAATCAAATCTCCCTACTTTTTAGGTGAGAAATAATAAAATATTAAGATACGTTTAAAATCTGTCATCATGTTTTGTTACATATAGGTATGTAATTTGTTACATTATACTATATGTTATACATACAAGTCCTAATAAATTTAATTTTCTTGTGACCAAAAACCTAATTTGTTATAACTAGTCACATGAACATTAAGTTTCGTTTGTTTTGTACAGATTTTATGAAATTATAACTTTTGATCAATTTTATATCGATTCGTAGATCTCTTAACCAAAAGGATGTAAAAAATAATTTTTAAAACTGTCCTCAATTTTTGACAAAATTAAAAATAAGAAGTTATCTATATCGTTATTTATACATAATATGTTTTAAATAACAAATATAGCCCTTATCTTATAAGCTCATAAACGTCATCAATAACTCCATAGTACTGCAACATTCAAAAAATAAAAACCGAATACTATAACAGCGAAGATATAATTCTCCCTAAAATAAAGCTAAACTTTTAACATGGCAACACGTATGTTCTTGACCGTGAAGTGGAAAGTAGTGTTGAACTAGTCTTGGAAACCACTTTTATTTACCGTTCATCTTATTTCAACTCTTCTAAATTATACCCTAAAGCACAGAAATAAGAATCATAATAAGTTTAATAAGTTTGAAAGTCGTTTTGTCAGCTTATTAACCAATTTAAGTGAGACCCGTTGCTGCAACATGTAATTTAGTAATGAGAGGCCTAAGTATAATTGCTAAAGACTTCGTCGAATGCGTTCTTTTTATTATAGAAACTTAGTGAATGAATTTCTCCTTATCCAGTTTATCTTCAAAGTTTTATAACCGGTTTGGATGTTTTTTTAAATTTGGAACTGACCAAGAGAAAAGGTCTAATAGGTATGTAGGTATTAGGACGTTATTATCTTTATTTTATTTTATGATCCTGTGTTTACGTTGATAGCCAGCCAGAGGTATCCTAAAATTTTCAAATATATTCCATTCTTATTAATCATTTTATTCATTCTTACATGCTTGTATACAAATAGTTAAGCAAGATGTTATGTAAAATTTATCTGTATCAACGTTTAACTCTGAAAACATTAGTCCGATTTAAATGGGTTCTTTTATATTTTACAGAGTATTCATTAAAGAAGGTTGTGGGCTATAATTTGACATCACGCACCCACCTTTAGAAACAGAACAGAGACTATAAACACCGGTATAACAGCGAGGAACGCCAATCACGTACACACTCGGTATAATAATTTTTGGTGCGTATTTCATGCTTTGTCAGGGTTGTTATAACTAAATATTAGATAAAGGTTATTATAACTAAATATTACTATTTAGATATTGTGGTGGTAGTCACTTTCCATCAGGGCCTCAATTCTGATATTTTAATATTGTATCAGTAGACTGTCGATGGAATGTCGTTGGAATAGTTTTGCACTTCTCCTATTCTACTAACTATGTAAGACCAATGACCTACCGATGACTTGTCACTGATACAAATACGACATTCGTATCAGTGATGTCTTTGTAATAGTTTAGTAAACGGTACATTTTAAATTTGTAAGAAAATGATATATTTAATTTTCATGATATGGCAATGTTGTTGATATCACCATTGATGACCTATATTACTATATCGACAGTCTATTGACACTGTGAATTTATGTTGGTAGAATACCGATATTTTGATCGATGTCAGTGGCATCTCTTGGCTTGGCGTTAACTAGCTAACTAAAATAGCAGAATTGAGGCCCTGGTGACCCGTTTGTTCGATTGCCTCCATTATTAGGACAAAAACTTTGATAATTGTGAACGTTAATCATATATTTGTAATATACTATGTAGTATACTTTAGACATATATGTAACTTATAGTTTTATAAAAATATTGCAGAAAACCGATGTTAAGTAATTCCTTGGTCTCATTTTAATCCCAACTCCACATACATATTTAACCAGAATGGCACAGAATTTCACACGTGTGGTTTTAGTCGGTTCAATACCAACATACCGCCCCACCGTAAACCCTGGATAGGTGACAGCTCGAGGGGGTTTCCACACACAAAAAAAAAAAGGCCCAAGACACCAACACTCAATTCTAAGGGGCACTCACTCAGTTTCTCACTACTCCAACTAAGTATAATTTAGACTGTGGGTTCTAGAACACATGTGTACAGACAGACACATCACATCAGAACACTCTTATAACAGTCTTACTATTATAAATAGTCTCATTTTACTGATTCGGAATTAAACCTTTGGCTCCTGACATAGTGGGTTCATTACACTAACCTTACTTTATGTTATGATATTTATTGTAGGCGTTTTATTTTTTTTAATAGTCAGATCTGTGGCAAGGCTTTAAAGTGACTAGTATATGAAAGTGAGTGTATCATTAAAAATAAATATATTTAAACAACAATCACATTTAAAGCTCACCTGAACACATTACAGACGGTACGATGACTCCCATAACACAGGATTATCCTAGCATAGGGTAATTGATCAATGATTTTGTGTGTATTCTGTTTCTTCTTTATTCTAACTGTATCAATAAGGTGAAATACTATGTATGTACAAGGTAAAAAAAAGAACTGTGTACCTAACCTAAACCTATTATGTTGTATTAGAAATTTTTTACTTAATTTCTCGTTGTTAAATATTATTATTATTATTTATTTATTTTTTATTAAAAACAATTACAGTGTCTTTACAGGATTTATCCCAAAACGATACTGTAAGTAAAAATAGTAAGTAACAGTTATTATTATTATTATATTATCTGTGTGATTGTCATCTTTGTTTTCATACATGTTTCGGAGTTTGGGCGTTTTCTATGTATAATATGTAATACTTATATTCTATAAAAAAATAGAATATAAGTATTCTATCAGTCAATCTAGCTTTCATAGTGCAAGCTCTGCTTAGTTTAAACTAGATGGCGCTGTGTATATTGATATCAGAAAAATATTATTATTATCTTTGACTTCGACTAAATGTCTAATCGATAATAATTAATTTGGATTACCACGGAGCGGAGATACATCGAGGCTATGAGCCTTACAGGAAACCGGTGTTGACCAACTCTTTCATTGCATTTACCGAGTAAAGATGATTACAGGAGGGCTAGCCCTTAATTTTGGTGGGAGGGGTCATTCAGAAAGTCACAACGCGCTTGTGCCTTGTGGCAGTTAGACGTGGAAATAATTGCTTCTTTTAAATCATATTCATTTAATGAACTGTTTGGTTTTAGTCACAGCGATTTCACATGTGATTGTGATTTCGTCATAGACAAAGATAAATGGCATTAAAATCAATCAAGATAAAGACTTTAAATTTTTAGATTTACACCTTTAGTGAGTCTTAAGCTAGCGTAGTTTATAATAATTAAGACGCAGTGATTTTGTAGATCAGTCACTTTGTGGCGATATGATTTATAAATATATAATTCATCACATGTGATTGATATTTTACTCCATCGCTAGTGGCAGTAGTCACATAACATCAGGTGATTCATTTGTCCCTTTTACCGTGTGATTACTGTGATATATATCCATATACATGTATGTGTTTACATTCTACAAATTATCTGTATATTTATTAATACCCGAAGGGATTTCTTTGTTCCTTTTTGTTAGAAAATTTCACGTACTGCGGAATGTAAAAAATGGACATCTTCTAGGAATGGTTGAGCAAAGTTGTCGAAAACATCATCGACGGTCTTTAGTAGTCCACTGGTGGACATAGGGCTCTCCTTAGAAAGTAGGTTTTAAAAAGTTGCGTTAGTGGTAATAATATTTAAAGGTATAGGTCTTGAAAACTGAGCACTGGCATCAGTATGTGTAGCATCACCACGGTTGGGTATCCCCTAAATACCATGTATTAAAAATCGTATATCCTGTATAGGGCAATATAAAAAAAAACGAGTGTTCTTTAGACCACACAACTGAAGTTATACTTCTTTAAAAAAAAGAGAGAAAGAAAATGTGTGCTCGCACCTCTCTCTCTTGCCCCTATAGTAATATACCAAACGTAACCTTCTCTCTTTCTATTTTCACTAACTTATATCTCCCTCTCAACTTCCATTTCCGATCTGACTTTATGTAACGTTCTCAAGTCTCAAGTCAAGCGTGCATAAAGAAGTTTTACTTCAAAAATAACGTTTTAAATTTGAATTGAAATAAATCAAAGTATATAATATCGTATCGTTTTTAATTTAAAGGACAAATTGTCTGATCAACATTTTATGTAATATTCTACAATAGAAAGGTGTGACGTCATACTGTACAGAATTTAACTGTATCTACCTTTTCAGCTTCATAGGCTACTATTGTTACTAGATTTTTGGTTCCATATGATGACTCTAAACCAATAATAAAAAGACTTTTCATTTAACTTTCTTCACAAAATTTTCTCCATTCTGTCTATCAGATATCTTCGCCGAAGAGTCTAAATGAGCAGAAAAACCCCAAAGAAAGTCATTCAAAATCCACTGAGCATGGTATATGAAGAATAGTGCAGTGGCTATGCCAGCGAAGAATAAATAGAAGTAGATTGTACCCATGAGGTGACCGAAGATAGGATAAACGAAGACTCCCTTGAAGACATAAACTCCAACTACACTGGAAAAAGGAGAAAACCTTATCTCAAATGTACAGTTTTTATTGTATATTAGAAGAATTAGAAGTAATTCATAAAACAATAAAAAAAATAGTAAGCTAAAACCTTCATTCTAAAAAGAGCCAACGTAACGTCCAGTCATCAACAGCCTTTAACAGTCCACTGCTGGACATAAGCCTCTCCTTGGAAAGGAGGTTTTGGCCTACTATACCACGCTGGCCAGACGGGTCGGTATAGGGTTTGAGTCAAGTTTTCCTTCTCTTTGCAGTGCTGTTTTTAGTCGGCTCTTACGACACCCACAGGATGGATGGGGGTGGTGACATTTCGTATTCTTATTCCGTCTTCACATGGATTTTATTTACGTCCAGTATCTACGTCTAGTAGTGGACTATTACAGGCTGTTGATGGTAATGATAAAAAAAAAATATTTCTAAGATTTGTTCTCAGTTTCGCTAACCATTTAAATTTAGCAAAGTTTATAGCAAAAAAACGTTTTAAATTTATATTTCGTAAAATACTACCTTTAAGGTGAATACTTACGTCCATAAATAAATAACTCCTATTCCCATAACACTCAACAAATGCCATGTATGACTTCTTGGTGGAACCCTGGGTCTGAACATCATTTCCCATAACGCGATGAAGAAGATGCTGGTATGCATGATATGGTTCGAGACAGACGAGATGGCCAGGTCGATGTCTTCAGGGTACAGCAAGTTGCGATCGTAGAACCAGAAAGACCAGAACATGGTGACCACCAACTGGAATAGAAATAAGTACTTACAGAAGTGTTCGTATTTATTTTAAAGTAACAAGACTGTAGCCTAGGTCTGGTGGTACAGTGGTTAGCGATCCTGATTGATAACCCAGAGGTTGTAAGTTTGATTCCCACCCAGGACTAATATTGTGTGACGAGAAGAAGGTACTTTTTTTTTAAAAGACATCTCCCGCACTAGGAATAAATCCATGCATAAAACGGACACAAACGACACCCAGACTGAGAACAACAATTTGTGGATCACACAAAGTGTCGTCCCATGTGGGGATCGGACCCATAACACTCAGCGTAGTAGCAAGCGGCAGGCGACCGCTTAAACCACTACGCCACCCGCGCAGTCGCCACTCGCCACTGCAGACAGGAGAAAAGATTTGTATGGATAAAACAAAAACGCATAGAGCGAAGGAGCTATGATAAGCGATACTGCTAGTCCTGGGTTATCAGTCCCGTTACACTAGAGAAAGACTAGGACAGGGACATGTTTTTAATTCAAACGATACTTACCACAGTAGCTGGCCAAACTAATATAGTGTAGAGTAGATCTCGACAGTCCGTCACCATCTTTGGAAGCCGATAGCCGCGGTGCTTAAGGTTCTTTAACGTTAAGATGTCAGAGTAAAGTGCTACAGCTGCGTGTATTATTTGGAAAGTCTGAAATAAAAGAATAAACTGGTTAAATCTATTCTAATATTACAAAGCTGAAGAATATGTTTGGTTGTTTGAGACGACCGGGTTTGTGTAACGGACTGCTATTCCAAAGATCGCAGGTTCGATTCCCGCTCAAGTCAAACATTTGTGTGCATGAACATTTAACGTTTAAATTGGTCTGGGTGTTTCTATGTATAATATGTACGTATTTACAAAAAAAAGTATTTATGTATTTATATCAGTTGTCTAGTAGCCATAGTACAAGCTCTATTTAATTTTTACCCACCAAAGTGTTGTTTAAATTTTGGAAAAAGTAATAGTCGGTAGGTGCAAGGTCTGGTGGTCACATCTGCAACCAGCTTTGGTCAATCGGTGGTCCCCACTGCTCCTTCACGACTACGCGCGACCCCATACTGCGCAACAGACAGTCTCCAAGCTGCAAGAGTTGGGGTTGGAAGCTCTCCCTCATCACAAAGTATTTGTGTCCGTTTAATCTATGTTTGTAAAGTCCCCCACGACACAGGATTTATTCGTAACTAGCTGAGACCCACGGTGTTACCCGCGTTTTTGTTATAACCGCGGGCAACGCCGCTTGGCGAAGTTAGTCTAAAAAAGTAGCCTAAGTTACTATTTATGTCATCAGCTATCTGCCAGTGAAAGTCCCGTCGAAATCGGTAAAGCCGTTCTAGAAATTACCCGGAACAAACAGACAGACAGACAGACAAAAAATGTAAAAAATGATATTTTGGCATACGTGCCGTGTAAACATACATATGCATTTAGTAAAAAGCGGTTATTTTAATATTACAAACAGACACTCCAATTTTATTTATTTGTATAGATGCGGAAGTTGTGTTTTAAATAAATAAATCAAAATAATATATAGGTATATTTAAAATAAACTCAACAATTTCACAACACAAATTTTACTACAGTGGGTATCCTTGGATTATTAAATAACGATTGGTTTAAGTCATTCAAGGAACACGACTGCTTCGGAATTCTACAAATACAATTTGTGTACTAGTTTAAAAAGAAAGATAATTTTAAAAAAGAAATAATATCTTTACACATTTAATTTCAAACATATTAAAAATTCTATTAGAACAGAACATAAAAGAAATTCAATAAGAAAATAATCTATTAAGGCTTTTCAGAATTTTTTTAGCGTCGCGCACATTCAATCTGTAGAACAAATTGTATGATATTGCCAAATTGACGACCTTCAAATAAAAGGCGATCTGTCTGCTCATTTGCCTTATGTATCTTAAAAAAAAAAATCATAACCACTCACAAAAGTCCAACATGTAAAGAAATAAAACTGCATCTCATAGAAATGTTTAACGTGAGGATTCTTCATGACGTCTCCGTAGAATTTGGTGATCATCCATGTCGCGTTACCAATATGTAGAACTATGGTGACCAGGTATGCCAAGATTCGGAAGTAGATGTAATACATCTCCCTGGGGACAGAGACGAGTTCTTTAGAGGCATGCATGCTGCTTTATATGTAGGAAGTTATCTACTTATCCACGAGTATATTTCATCTATAATTGTCCGTGTGGTGACGGATAATGAATACAGAGTGTCACCACCCCTATTCATCCCGTGGGTGTTGTAAGAGCCGACTAGGGGAGGAAACTACGCAGGACAACAGCACTGCAAAGAGAAGGAAAACTTGATACAAAACCTATACCAACCCGTCTGGCCAGCGTGGTATAGTAGGCCAAAACCTCTTTTCTAAAGAGAAGCCTATGTCCAGCAGTGGACTACTAAAGGCTGTTAAATCTTTATTCATTAAAAAGAACATTTCAAAAAAACACATACAGGGTGTAAAGAATGGTGTAACGAATACAGAAATAGACCATCATTCTGAGTCGTTAATTATCATTCAATTGAATTACTATTGATATTTTGATATATTGATATTTTTTTAGAAATATTGTTAACGTGGGTCATTTATTAGAAGTATTCTTAGTTAACTCGTAAAGCTAAGTAATAATGCTTGTCTTAAAAATAGGTTCAAGTCTCTGAGCGTGGCTCTCATGACTGCACGGATGGCGTAGTGGTTTAGGCGGTCGCCACGCCGCTTACTACTACGTTGAGCGTTGTGGGTTCTATCCCCACATGGAACGACACTTTGTGTGATCCACAAATCAAATTGTTGTTCTGAGTCTGGGTGTTCATTGTGTCCGTTTCATGTATGTTTGTAAAGTCCCCCCGACACAGAATATATTCCTAATGCGGGAGATGTCTTAAAAAAAAAAGTATAAATGAAAATATGTGATCTCACTCATTTAATTATCGTCTTCTACAACGATAACTAATTATAGACGTTTTCCTCAGTCCTCCTTCACGAGCCAGCACAAAACAAGCACACAGATTGTTTTTGTTTACGGATCAAATGTAATTATTGTGAGAAATATGTTTTTGTAGTAACATTGTATTTCTGCATATGTTTTTTTTTCTGTTTTAAAGATTAACATTACTGAAGCATATTGAACGTAACATCGACAGCCATTAACAGTCCACTGCTGGACATGGGCCTCTCCTCCTCTCCTTAGGTTGTGGCCAGACGAGTTGGTATAAGGTTTGTGTCAAGTTTTCCTTGTCTTTGCAGTGCTCTTGTCCTGCGTAGTTTACTCCCTTCGGCTTTTACGACACCAACAGGATTGAACGTAAAGTACAACAATAATGCTGTCACGAAATAGCACTAAAATTCGAGAAAGAAAGAGAAACTTCATGTAACAGTGCAGTTTAGAAATAATTCTAATTATAATACAGGGTGGCACTGAACAATGAGTTTCATAACAAATGCATAAGATCGAAAATAGTGAGCCAATTCAGTTTGAGCTACGGTGCGATAAACATCGAAGTTCCAACATTCCTAATCTCCTCCTCCTCGACCCGCCATTTTACTCGTACCAAAGCGATGACTTCCACGTTTGCTTGGACCTCGCCTAACTCAGAGGTTTTGTATTACTGGAAGTTGGTGCCCACGCTTTTGCGGGCAGGCGTTAGGAAGGGTCTGGTCCAAAGGTGTCATAATAAATTAGATTGTAGTTACAAACGAACTTACCCGTATTATAATGATAGTATACAAAGGTACATTTGCATTATAACATACATACATACATAATATTATACTAATAAGTATGTAGTCTCAGGGCAATTGTTTTGATCTGTGGCGACCTCTGTCGTGCTAGATTTTATTATAACTTGCTATAAGCGCTTCAAGTCGAAAGCAAATCTGCATGACAGAGCTGCAGAGACTTTAAGAAACCCTTTATTTTCTACTGAAGTCGTACGTTCTTAATCATTTAACACAGGCGGCCTGTTGGTCTAGTGGTTAGTGGGTTCAATTCCCACCCAGGACAAATATTGTGTGATGAGCACGGTCATTTTTTCTGTGTCTGGGTGTAATTTATCTATAGTATGTATGTATTTAGAAATATATAAGTATGTTTATCATTATAGTAGTTTGGGATCAGACGGCCCTGTGTGAATGTGTCAGATATTATTATTATTTCCCGTAAATTATTTCACGCATATCACACCTATTTGTAAATTCCCGAAGGGGTAGGCGCATAGAACGCCCCTATTTTAACTCCTTTAAAATACTAATTTTTCCAAACATTATCTACTTAAGTGCTTGGTTGAAGCCTGTGCTTGTAATTGTGTAATTGTGTAAACGAAAATCGAACCCTTGATTTGGCAGTTGAATTCTTTATCAGAGTGCCGTAGAACTCAAAAGATACTTCAACTATTATTTAAATACAGTGCAGTATATTTAATACAAGCAAGGTATTTTACCTAAGTATTTATTATTCATTCTGAGGCCAATTCAAAGGTTGGAGTTGTTTCTAATTGAATTATTTATTTGTCTACAATACAGCTATGGATTTCAGACATAGTGAAACCTATTAAATACTATCACAATGGCGTTGGATACATAAAAAATTTAAGTACTTTAGTAGTGCCACAAAGTCGATGGGTACTTTAGTCAATAGATACGATATAAAAATAGAACATAAACTTTTGGGTAACCTTTGGGTGGTAAATAGACGAATTCATGGGTAGTTTCGGTAAAAAATTTTGTTTATTTCTATACTTTTTTTACGAAATTTAATCAGTCTGTAACTACGGCCGAAAGTTGTTACTTAAAACTTGAAATTAAATTTGTAACTTTTATCTAATTTCACTACGTTACCAAGCTGATTTAGAATCTTTATTTTCGTATTAACCTTTTTTATTTATTTATCATCATTATTTAGATTATATTGCCATTTTTAAACACATGTTAGGAATCAACATTGTTTGTTAATTTACCCACACGTAAAATCTCATAAAAATACTTAAAAACTACATGTTTTAATATTATAATTGTCTTCACCACACGTTACCGGTAATACCAGTTCTATACACCATATCAATAGTTAAAATATACTCACATTTTTCAAAAGTGGAATCTAACACAAAACTGTTTCTTTTATTTTCACAGATTCATGAAAAAAAAAACTTACAACCACGCTTCTGTCTACCAGTCTTTAAAAACACGTCACCAGTCTTTTTAACTAAAAAAGACTAGTCCCATAATATACGTCTTTCCCTACGCCTACTACACGACATGTGTTTAATGCGTGTAACACAATCAAAATACTAACTATTGTAGTATAATTACTAGTTTCATTATCGTTAACACAGAACTGGTTTATCGCTAACTTTAAATATTTAAAATAATTTTCCTAAAAGACCGGATAAACTCGTGTCCGTACAAAACTGATGTATTGTTGAAGATATTCAACATAGCGATAGCGCCTTTTTTTAGAGAGTGTGACGATACTGCAACGCTCCATTCACGCGTATCTGAACGCGGTATTCTTTAATCATTTTAATAAATGGATGTACCTTTAGTTAATAAATTAAATGATGATGGAGTCATGGCCTCACAGCAAACTAATGTTAATCAACTCTTTTATAACTTTTAACCGAGTATCAGAGTTTAGCAGGGGCACATTCCCCGTCTTACTCTGGGGTAGGTGGCACCACACTTCCCTTGTGTCTACTTCGGTTGCAGGTGGCTAGGGCTGGTAGGTACTTACCACCAGGGGATCTTTCCGCTTATCTACACCCTATACTAAGGGGCGTATCTTGAAATTTGGCGCCCCGGGCCAATAAGTTTCGCCGCCCCAGAAGCCAAGATAAAAACGATTAAAATTAAAATACATTTTTTTTTAAATTTCAATAACGTCTACATTTTTTTGCGCTGCACAAATTTCGTTACTTAGTTGTTTTGTTTAATCGGCTTCAATATTGAGAATCGCTAAACTAATTAAACGTTCTTCAAAAATCCGTGAGCGAAGATAATTCTTCTCTTTTTAGAACCGAAAATGATCTTTCTGTATCAGTGACAAACTGCAGTGCACAAAAAGATGCGTAGTTTATCCCGTGGAAGAATTTAGTGAACTTATTTTATTTAAGATAACTGTGCGATATACCGTGCTGGTATTATGAGTGAATGGTTATAGTCTCATCATGTTAAGATTACTCCATGGCGAGCGCGATCCCCTGATCTAAACCGTGTAGAAAACGTATGGTGTTTAGTAGCTGCGTCTAGTGCATGCGTCAACGTCTTAGTGTATTATAAACAATGGAGGTCACGCTTAGTATTAACAAAACTAAACGTTTTATTCAAATTAGGGGATGCGCTGGCTGTAACAGTCATAAGTTAGTTTATAATTGTAAAACAGAGGTCAAGTTTCATTCTCTTTTTCCTTGAACAAATGAACATATTAAATTCAACCTCTATAAACAACAAGAACAAATTGTATAACCAAAATAGTTTAAAAATTAAACTTAAATGTGTTAAACTTTATTTTAATAAACACATTTAAGTTTAATTTTTAATATAAAATATCTTAAATAAAATAAAATATCTTATGAAAAATAATAACTTTGTTATTAAATTACATATTATACTTTTTTTCCGTAAGCTGCAGTCAGTCATTTTAAAGTAACGCAGTCAAAAAATACTCGTATATCCTGACATGAAAACAAAAAGTTCAAAAAGTGATCAGGCACTGAGGCTCGAAAAGTCACCACTCGTCATCAAGTGTGGAAGTAAGCTAATCTTACTATTATACCACTGGACTACTGTGTTGAATTTAAGTAAAAGTTAGTTGAATTGCGCTAAAATCAAAGCAAAAAAGCAGTGGGCCATTGGCGCCCCGGGCCATGGCCCGGATGGCCCTAGGGTAAATACGCCCCTGCCTATACTATAAAAAAGACACAAGAGTCTAATCAATTGTGAACTTCTACTCTCAGAACTATTCAACGGACCAGCATGAAACTGTCAGGGGTAAGGAATAAACATAGGGTAACTTTAATATGAACAGACAAACAGTAACTATAAAAAACGTTCATGTCATCATCAGCAGCCTTTAATAGTCCACTGCTAGACATAAGCCTCTCCTTAGAAAGGAGGTTTTGGCCTACTAT